TCGATTTTATTATTTATATAATATTTAACTTTATAATGCTATAACTTATTGAAAAGTTTATGGATCCACACAATTTTTTTATGAGAAATAATATTTTTAATAATCCCTTTTTCATTCGACATACTTTATCTTAATCAGGATATTAATAAGGAAATAGCAGATCAGGTAACTTTTGGAACAATCCACCAATTTTTTAAAATTAAACACTATCTAAAGATTTGCATCGAAGCGTTTTTTTTTTATAGTGATTTTAATCACTGTCAGATTTAATTATACTTAATCCAACTATACCACGTCACCACTGTGCCTCCACCCAACTATCGTGGTTTTTTTTTATTATATTATTAATTAGGATTTATAAATTTATATTTATATATAACAATAGTTTAGACTATAAAATATATTTATTATTGTGATCAAATTCAATTTTTTAAGTGTAAAAATTTTATATCAACTTCATGTAATCGTAATTTCTGGAGTCCCTTAAGATGATCATCTTTCTTATCATCTATTTGTTATATTTATAAATGATGCTGTGTTCTCTATTACACGCACCAATATTCTTCTTTTCGCTGATGTTGCACAAATTTTTAGACCATTTAACAAATGTTGCATACAAAATAGACTTTCATTGAATATAAACAAATGTCAAATTGTAACCTATTGTAAAAAACACAATGCCTTTAATTTTAATTATCATTTATCTTACATTAATTTACATTGTTCCTTTTTTATTAAAGATTTAGGTATTTTATTTGATTCTGAACTGTTATTTCATACTCATGTATCAGAGATGAAAAAAAAGCCATAATAAATAAAATATTGTATACATTTTTTTTTAATTTCTGTCAATTACATATATTTCTTTACATATATCCCCTTTTAAATCCATGGGGTGTTGGGGCGTGGTCTTCCCTAGGATGTAATAACTGATGAGCTGTGACTGGTTGATAAGCCACCCTCCCTGTGTGAGGGGTTAAACAAAATGGGTACCATTGATTAGTTGATACAATTTAGTGGTGGAATTATATAAAATACACTGTTATAGTATACTATATTGTGCACGGGGAGTGTGTTAAAAGAGATGCAACGTGTTCATATTGTATATATGTGTTAATATTTGTAAGTAGCATAACAGCACAGACCTTACCAATCACAGCTTATTGACATCTTACCTAAATAATGCATTTCGTTTTTTTTTTTGTATTGCTTGAATCTTATATTTTAATTTATCGATAAGTATAGTTGATATTCAACTAATGGTTTGTATATTTTTTCTAGAAAAAATGTCTGTACTGAATAAAATCAAATCACTCTCCCACAATGATTACGTATAAATGGCTTCACTGACACTAAATAAAGAGTGTCGGGTTATTACTTTAAGAGATATGTGGAAACCAAGTACGGTCGAACATTAATAGCGAGATTAGAAAACGATAAACAGCTATGTTTGCCTAAAATAATTTCACTCACAAACGCTGAAAAAGAGTAATTAAAAAAGTAAAAAAAATAATTTGCAGTAATGTTATTTTAGTTTAAACACATTTTTTGTACGTGTCGTGTAAAAGTCAAGTTTTTCGGAAAATAAGTTTCATACATTTTGTCTATTCATTTTTTTGAAATCAATAAGAATAATTAAGTAAAACTAATGTTTACTCATTTTTTTTACAATTATGTTTGCAAAAATTAGATATATAAATATAAATATATAATGTTGACTTTATTCATTGATAATAAATTTAATTTTGCTCAAAATTAAATTTGGGTAAATCACCCAAACTAGCACCGAGAGTCCCTTTAAAGTTATAGAAAAAATTAATGAATTAAATTATATTATTGAATTAATATTAGATAATAAAAAAGTTAATGACACAGTTTATGTAAGACATCTAAAACCATATTTTTTAAGAAATTATGAATAAATTCTCATTACATACCTCTTTTTTTCTTATTTATCGTTACAAAATCTTTTTATATAATTATTTTTATGTTTATAATTTCACTATATTTAATACTTTTATTAAAATTAGTAAAATCCAGTAAATACTAATTTTTATAACAGAAAATAGACGTATTGTTAAGAAAACCAACTCCTAAAAACATTTCCTTTTATAAAAGTATGAACAATTTTGAGTTTTGTTCGAGCACCATTTCAAAATGTCGAATCAAACAGAACAAACGCCGTTTCAAGAGTTCAAAAAATCTCTCAAAAATATAAAAACAGAAATAGATTATAAGTAATTAATTTGAAAAAAAAATATGAATTATTAACTAACTGACCTTGTTTTGTTTATAACTGAAGATGAAATGGAAACAAAATGATGTGTGCAATAATACTTATATTAACGACGATTATTCGTGTGAGTGCATATATATATTTTTTTCTTAAATATAACAAAAATTCTGTCTATTTTAATAAATATGTATTTTCATAGATACTAATGATTACTCACAACAAATGGCTGAATCTGTCATTTCGGAAGCTGACAGTAAAATTAACGAAACTTATCGAGTAAGTACATATGTATATTTTTTTTTAATACAAAAAATCATAAATAAAATATAATGAAAACGTGATTAATTTTTTCAAGTCTAATTCATGTTTCACCAACCTGTATGTGTTATTTGGTCAGTGATACAAACACCTTAAATAGTAATATTCAATTGATTATAATTTTATTTTTGTAATATGATTATTAATTGCAAAAAATCAAATAATGTTAATATAATTGTTTAGATTTAACTGTTAAACATAAGGTATTATAATTGCATTATATAATTATTGCCAAAATCAAGATAATATTATCTACAGCTAGCAGCTAAAGGCTTGCTTTTAGAGAATTGTTGTGTATATATAATTATTATATTGTAATTTAATGTGTTGTCATTATGTATAACAATAAACATATTACTTATAATAAATTAAAGCTATTAAAGAAAAAAAATATGTTCTATCAATACACAATTACTTTATACTTAAGCTTGTGCTCTCCAGGTTTATTATTAAATACTGTTTGGTACAGAATGGCTTTAGCAAACATCTAGTAAACCAGTTGTTACAAACATCGTTGATTATATTATATTCTGTGACAGCTGATCTCCAGCGTCTTGCTTCACTCACCCCTTTGCCCACCCAGCACGACAAATTGATGATCTCCGTGTCAATTGTCAGCCGTGTACAGTTTATTGTCGAAAGTCAGTCAATTGTTTTATGTGTCATTTTTTTTTTTTTGTAGCAAGCGCCTTCGCTTGAATGGTAAATTGTTCGGACATTGTACGCCGATATTCTTTTATTTGTTTATTGCACCCTTGTGCTCAAAGTTTTTGTGCCCTTGAACGTCACTAGTGATTGGGCCCTGACCATCACTAAATATCTTCATTGCCGTAGTTGCTTTTTCGCCGTCTGTTCTTATCTGCCATTACGTGCCTAGATCTACACTCTGACTCGTCATACTCAGATGTTCGACACCATTATCACAAGATATCATACAGTCCACTCATCACTATCAATAACTTCATCTTTTCAGCTGAGTTTTATATTATTTTTTAATGTTATTTGTTTTAATTGAGTTTAACTATTTTTGTTTTTGCCGCTTCGCCGGCACTCTGTATTTAAGTGTAATCCCTTAAATTCAAGATATCTTTGAAGAATTTCTAATATATGTGTTTATTTGTTATTTAATTATTGTCTACCCTCGTTACTTATTGGATGTACAGATAGCCGTCATCCCATAGGCGACCGATTCCCGTTTCAATAATAGCGATTTAAACAGGCTTAAGGTAAAACGGCATTTTAGTGCGGTGCACAACTAGCCGTCCTACGGTATAGCTGCCTCGTACAAAACAAATATCAATATTATATACATACGTTTACTTATTTTCTGGCATAACATTACATATTATTATTTTATAATGTATAGTTTGTAATAATTTTTATCTGAACGCATTGATATAAAGAATTGTTGTCTCTCAATAACTGAAGTTTTTGAGGGTCTATCGAATTTGAATATGAATATGACCGTAGGTACGGACTTTGTTCCTGAGATTTTTCTCAAAAACTGCCGTTACTCCCTTACTCATCCAATCCATTTTCTTTTATCTTTATCTCTATCATCTGGTATTTTTCCTACGACTTGGAAAACCAGTTATGTTTACCCTATTTTTAAGTCTGGGATAAGATCTAACATACGTAATTACAGACCTATAACTAAAATGAGTATTATACCGAAATTATTTGAAAAGTTATTAGTACCAAAATTGTATTACACTTTTAGCTCAATACTGGTAAACAATCAACATGGATTTAGAACTTCTAAATATACAGTTACTAATTTACTTGTCTACTATTCTGATTTAATGTCTATTATTTCTAAAGGTGGTCAGGTAGACGCTATCTACACTGACCTTCAAAAAGGGTTTGATAGTGTTAATTATTTTATATTAATAAGTAAATTAAGTACTATGGGAGTCGGTAACCCTATGATAGATTGGCTTTCGTCTTATCTCAGTGGCAGAAAACAAATAGTTAAAATTGGTGATCTAACGTCTTTTACTATTGATGCTACATTTAGGCATTTGTCACCTCTTTTGTTTATAATTTCTATAAATGATCTTAGTAATGTTTTCAATCACTGTAAATGTTTATTATTTACGGATGATTTGAAGTTATACTTACAAATTAACTCACTGTAGTGACTTTTTTAAATTACAATCAGATCTAGATAAATTTATATTATGGCGTTTTGAAAATGGTTTACAAATAAATAGTGACAAATGCTCACAAATCACATTCAGTAGAGTTATATCTATTTACAATTATCAATATGTAATTAATGGTTTTAACCTTTCTATAGTTAATCACATAAAAGATTTAGCCGTTTTTCTGTCTTGTGATTTATCTTTTTCGAAACATATTAGCTATATTTATAATAAAGCGTCGCGTACATTAGGATTCATAAGACGTAATTGCAACGAATTTCATGATATTGATTGTTTAAAAACTTTATACTTTTCTCTTGTAAGATCTGGCCTGGAGTATGGTTCTATTATTTGGTCCCCGTTTATTGCCAACGATATTAAAAAGATTGAATCTATTAAAAACGTTTCTTAACCTCTTTATCGGGCAAATTTAATAAAAATAGGATTAACCAAAAGATTTTTTTTAATAATTTGAAAATGGACTCTCTATTATGTAGAAGACAATATTTAGATGTAAAATGGATGTATAATTTACTCAATAACAAAATCAATTGTCCCGAAATTTTAGAAAAGATACCATTCAATGTTCCTCAAGTATTTTTTCGTAATAATTCCATGTTTTATATACCTACCCTCACGCAGAACTATTATAAAAACTCGCCAGTTAATCGCATGCTAAACTTATGTAATTCATTAAAAAATTTTGATTTTAATCATGATTCGTCAACATTATTATTGTCAACATGTCGTATTACTTTCAAAGTATAATTTTTAATTGATCTTTCAAATGTTTACTTTATATTTATTTACATTCATTTTGTATTTCTTTTTAGTGTAATATTTATAACTTTAAAGTTTTAAGTTTTATAGTTTGTTATTATTTGTATTGATTTGTATTATTTCTGTACTGTTTGCCCTAATGGGCGTAATCATCATCATCATTTTGAATGATGAAATAAATAAATAATTTATACTTAAAAATAAATAACAACACAAAAATAAAATAAATATCTATGATTTTATTATATTTTAAACACGTGAACATTTTCATACATAAATGTTTATTTTAAACTATGAATAAAAGTAAAAGTAAATTTTTATACTAAGTAAAACATGATTAATTTAAAGTATATAAGTAAAAATACATTTTTAAATAAATTTAAAAAATATTTAAATTATTATTATTGAAATGAAAAATTGAATGCATTACCACGTTTTCCGTAATAAATTAGAGATAACTCTTCAAGAGATTCATTGTATTCATCTATTTGAGCGTCTGTGAGTGAAATTATTTTAGGCAAACATAGCTGTTTATCATTTTCTAATCTCGCTATTAATGTTCGACCGTACTTGGTTTCCACATATCTCTTAAAGTAATAACCCGATACTCTTTATAAATACTCTGAAAAAATAACATAACTGCAAATTACTGAAATATGATTTTTATCCAGGGAGGGTGTTGGTATAATATTATCAACTCCAAATGTCATTAGTTAAAACTCATCAACTCACCCCAACGATAATAAACCATATTCAACAATTATAGATAAACCCAAGGGTTTATAATGGTTTATAATGGTATATAATGGATAACATTTGTGTTATAAGATTATAACACAAATGTTAACCATTATATAATGAATATGATTTATCGGAGTATTCATTAGTTTACTATTCATACTAGCTAGACCAATACACCATTTAATGTTGACTGTTAATAGTTATACAATTATTTTTTTTAATTTTATTGGTTGTTGATTATATAACCGAACAATCCTATAAATTACAATTTTAACGCTAATGATGGCAATATTTTCATTTTATTGGTTACGATCCATTTAATAAATACTAAAGCACAATCATTGCTCTCTTTTAATAATATTAATAATATGTCATAGGATTTGTATTGGCGAGTGCAATCCTAACGCGCTCCCCCCATTCATTGGCGCATCCTTTAGAAACAGTTAGCATAATTGCAGTATTTAGGATGTCAATAAGCTTTGACTGGAAAGTCTGTGCTGTTATGCTACTTACAAATATTAACACATATATACAATATGAACATTTTGCATCTCATTAACACACTCCCCGTGCACAATATAGTATACTATAACAGTGTATTTTTATAAAATTCCACTGCTAAATAATATCAACTAATTAATGGCCCCTATTTCACCCCAAGTGTAGGAGTCAATGTAAAGTCACTATTTTATTTTTAATACCTTCACAGTGGGCGTGGCCTATCAACCAATCATACTTCATTAGTTATTACACCCTAGGGAAGACCACGCCTCCAACTACACCATGGGGTTAAATAAAATAGGGTCTTTTTCTCAACGCGTATTGCAATGTTTAATACAGTAAAATAATACATGAAAATTCATATTTTCACAAACTTTAAAATGCTACAGAATATTTACTACTGAATATTAATAAGATATATTTTTACCAACAATTTTCTTAAAATATACTCTACAAAATAGCTATCTTAGATTTTTTTTTACATTTTATATAAATATTTAAAAATAATCAATATTTTTAATAAAATGTAAAAAAATGTATTATTGAGATATAATTATAGACCTAACGTATAACTATTATTTAACAAAAAAATCGTCTAAAAATATTAACTGTATCAAAAGTTATTTAAGATGTCATTGAGTATACAGTTCTAATACGTGCAGTTGTCGCTTCGAAAAAATACCACGTTTTCTTTGTGAACGCTTTCGTATACACGTCGCTCATACGTACGATTTTATCACGCTTATTGTTGAGAACTTACTTTTACTAACTGTATCTTCGCGCATTTAAGGAATAATTTCAGTTGAGCAAGTCTTTTATTAATTTAAAATTCACAGGAATGAATTATGCTCACATTAGTTTACCGAATCTGAACCATAGTATTCACTTTTATATTGTCTGACATAATAATTTTTGAATTATTCATATTACATCGAAAGGCCCAACTACTTGTAAAACCATAAGTAGATTCGTTTAAAAATTCTACATTCAAAAAATTACACTCAAGACCAGTGACATGATTACCAGAATTTTGAATTTGTCTAAATTCATGACTCATGTCTACTATTCGTGGTCCTTTTTTATAAAACAACGTGAAGTCACTAAATACACCAAATTCATTCATTTTTCTTTAGCTAAATAACTATGATATCATAGCAAATATATATTTTTAACTTACCAACATTTTTTATGTTAAAATAACCGTAATAAAACCATATCTATACTTCAAACGTTTATAAATAATGACCGTATTAACATGTTACCTTGAAATTTTATATTTTGTCTAAGCAATATACTAGAATTAAGTTTTCATAGTTATTTTAATATTACGAATACATTTTAAAATGGGACGTATGAGTGCTTGAAATTCGCTTTCAGACCACTGTGCTGTGACCATCTCACAAAATGTTATAGATACAGTAATAATCACATTAGGTTTTTAAATTCTTTTAGGCAACGAAGAGATGGTGGCCATTTCATGAATACCATGTAATGTGATTATGTATAAGATACAAATTAGTCAGTAATAATTAATTAAAGTTTGACAATGAATATAAATATTTGATCAATTGCTTTATCGTTCTTTACTCAGATTATTAATTTTAAATAATCGGTTTAATGCATTGTAACTCAAAACATAATAAAATTAAGAGAAGTTGTGTTGGATAATAGGTGAGAATTATTTTGATTCGAGGTGTGATTCGAACGTCACAAAATAACATAATTATTGACCCTTATTGATTTGAAATCTTACCATTTAAAAACTTTATAAGAAAAAATGCATACAGTTGTTTAATATATAAAAATTCAATAAATAATTACTTAAGGATTAAAAAAAAAATCATAATTCATTGTACTATACTTAATATATTTGAGGAAGCGCATGACATATAGCCTAGGATAAGAAGCGTTATATAAAATAAATCTCTTCCGAGTATAATGAATAATAATTGTAAAGTTAATATTACTAAGGAGTGAAAAATAATTTATTTTATTGTCATGAAGTTAAAACAATAATTGATTGATTCTATCTTTGAAAAATTTCAAACTAAAAAAGTTCTGGATGTCAAATAATCAGAATGTGTTATAAAACACCTATAAAAACATTTTAGTGTAAATGAGTGGTTAAAGCTCCAATGATTTTGTTTAATGCCAAATAAATAAAGAAGGGGTTTTTTTACTGCTAAAACATGTAAATTTTATAAAAATTTGGAATCAAAAATTCAATTTATAATTGTAAATAATTAATTGAAGTTTGTTTTGAAAAATATATTTTACAATTCCAATAGTCTTTCCTCATTTTCACCGTTTACATGACCATAGTTTTGATAACTAAATATTTCGAAAGTTTCACAAAATTTTATACATGATAAAATACTTATTATGCTTATATTATGGAATGATTTATCTATTAACTTCGTAAATAAATATATTCTTACAAAATTATCTTTGATTCCTTTAGAATCTGAAATTGAACTTAAATATTCAATTTCTTTTAATTCATTTTTATCTAACACATTTCTTGAAATATACATTTTAGTTTCAAGATTGATTTTCGATTCATAGTCTGGGTCATTAATTAAATCATTTGAAATTATTTTAAAAAAGTTCGGTTTTATTTTATCTATTATATGTACGATATTTAAAATCAAAATACCATGATAATTTCTAAAATTTTGATCATCTAAAGGTAAATCTGTAAAAGATTTGAAAATTTTTTGAAAATCATGAGCTTCTACGCCATCAAATAACATAGTCGTATTCTGAAATGAATTTGCTATTTTTTCTATGAAAAATTTTGCAGAATCTAATTGTTCATTGTCTAACATTAAAGAACTGTAGATAAAGTGTTTTTTCATTAAATTCATTAAAACGGTTTTAAAAACGTTTAAGACTTTTTGTTGATAAACTCCAATTTGTTTTATCCATAAATCAAACATAAAATAATTCTTAGCTTCTTTGTATGCTTTATGTATGTCATTATAGATAGTATCAAAAGTATCTTTACTTTGTTCACCGAAATCCATTATAGCAATTCTCAATAATTCTTTGTCTTCAATTATGTCGCACATATAAATACTTCTGAATGAGAATGCACTTTCTTCTTTGTCTTCAATTTCCAATACAATTTTGTTGATTTCTTTTCTTCGATTCATAACATCTATAAGATTCTTAAGAGTTGAATATTGTTCCGAAATAACTGAAGGAATACCCTTTACGTCATACTTATTATTTTTTCGACATATATTTTTAGATAAAAATACTAACATTGAGCGAAGGGTTAGGTGAGTATCTACATTATTATATGGATATTGATATATTTCATTACCAAACAATCGAATATAAGAATTATAAAAATGCATTGCCCAAAAAACGTCAAATGTTTTTATGGGATTGTACTTAATCAAAATAACTAAAATTTGTTTTGTAATAGATTCGTTTAAAATAATTCTGTTTAAATCATATGTTTGCACAGACAGAATATTAATGAAAAAATAATTAAGATTCAAATATTGAAGAAGATTGAATGCATTACCACAAATAAGGTCCAACCGTATTAAGTGCGTTTTTGATTTCATTAAACTCGTAATACCTCTTAATGATTTATCTCCTGCGAAGATTTTGTTTTTGAAATTTTTCATTGACAAATCGCATAGATCCTTATAGCTAGGATACTCGAATCCAGTGTCTAGTTTTAAAACTCTTTCTAATGATTCATCTTTTGTTTTCCAGAATTTTATGCCATAACATTTTTTTAGCTGCACAATACATAACAAAAATAATATCGTAGTAAATGTTTTTAAAATCATTTTCAATTGTCAATATATAAATTATTTTATCATGTGATAATTTAATAAGCTAGCAAGATATTTTTTTAAAACTCTTTATAAGTATTTTAACTATGGATATTTATTGATATCTGTATTCATTTTAATAGTAATTTTATATTCAAAAATAGATCGCATTATTCATTTGCTATAAATATAATAAAATAATGTAATTGATTAAACAGCACATTGAGCTCCAATTTTGCATGTTAGTTGTTTATTTAAGAACTTAATATATTTTTATAATAAGTTATAATATATTATACAGAGTGATATTAGCCACTCAATTAAAATTAAAATAATAATTATAAGAAGAAAATCCATTATGATATTTTTAATTTTATATATTTTTCTATTTATTAATTATGAAAAGGGCTCGGAAGTTTTAGCAAATGCATATATTGCTAATTTTTAGGTTTAAGTGCTATTTTTAGCTAGATTTTATATATTTGTTCACCGAAATCCATTATAGCAATTTTCAATAATTCTTTGTTTTCAATTATGTCGCACATATAATTACTTCTGAGTGTGTAATAAACCAAAAAGAAAAAAAAGATTAAAAAGGAAAAGAGTTTATTAAAATTTTGTTGGAATGTAAAATAATAAAATATAATAAATGGTAGGTATAATAAAATATTATAAGATGATAGGTAGGTTTATAGGGATTAATAATGGAGGATAAGAAAAAAAATGGTGGTGATGTGGATTTTACTATTGAATGTATAAATGCTTATATTGTACCAAAAGAAAATCTAAGGGTTGGTTCTTAGTCAGACTAAAGATATAATATAGCGTATGTATGGCCGAATAATAATAAAAATTATTAAATAAGATGGTAAATGGCGGAGTAACACATGTTTAAATGTGGCAAGATATGTAAGGGTGCAAAGAATATAATAATATGAATAAAAAATGATTCAGAGGGGTGAATAAACGGAGTTTAAATACATGAGGGTAATGATCAAATAAATAAAAATGCACAAAAACGTTGTGACAAAAATAATGAACTGATCTCGGGGTTGAACAATATTGAATAAATGAAGTCAATTATCCTACCAAACTTTATTACCTATCTTAATGGTTTATTACGCAATATAGTATTTATAATTTGAAAGCGGGAATTTAAATTTGTACTTACCTTGTATCCCACGTAGTGTAATGTTTATTTTTGACAATCCAATGTTGATTATGAGTTTATACTGTATTTCACACGTTGTACACTTTGATTTCGACAGTAAATATGACCGTTTGAGAATAAAGCGTTTAATTATAAATAATACGAAACCGTTACACAAAATCTATGACTGTATTATTGTATGCAAGAGATTCTATACACTCTATATTTTTATAATTATAATCAAATAATGTATCTTTAGTTGACTTAGTAGAATGAGTATATTGTTTGAGAGATTATATTTTATTGAGAGATCGACACCAATATTTCTTAAATTTTCCTCTGGCCTGGCCAAAACAAGATTCAGAAATATTTATATCTATGTAAAAGATTTGTCAGGGCGGAATTGTGGTGGCCCAATGTGTCCCGGTGCTAAATTAAAGCACCTTGAAAGGATGCGGCACAATAATCACCAAGACAAAAATTAAACACTAAAAACATATATTTGTAAGTTTCTCTGTGCTGTCTGCCGGCGCGATGTTTGTTAAGACAAAGACATTAAACCACAGAAGATTAGCTACCCAATACACATAGGCTTACAAATATATTCTAACCTAACACCTAACTTTAAAAATATTTAATTGCAACCTTTACTCTGTCTGCCGGCGCGATGTTCGTTAGAACAAAGACATTAAACCACAGAAGATTAGCTACCCAGTAAGTATAGAGTTGCAATACACTTAGTCATATAATCAATATTTATCATTAACTGAGAAAATTAGAGTTGATTCGGTTTTATTAAAAAAAAAAATGTTTTATTTTAAAATATTAATTGACATTTATTTCCATGGTAAAATAAAAAATAAAATATCATTATATAATGAACAAATTAAATTAAATTAAAAGATTCACCAAAACAAAATTCACTTTAAAATTTCTAAGTGTCATTTAGTTTTAAAGAAAAATATTCTAAGTCCAAATAAATTAAAAAAAAACGACTAAGTGTTTTAAAAATTGAAAAATATTCTAAGTCCAAATAAATTAAAAAATAAACTAAGTCCCAGAGAGTAGAATCTTGAGTAGAGTGTCGCAGATTTTGTGTAATTTAAAATAGCCGAAAGAACTGATTTTAATAGGAAAAAATGGGTTTTTATAGTAGACGAGGGTCGTGTAGCGATCCCTAGTGTGATCTTAGAAACTGTAGATCTCAATTAATAGTTGAATGTGATTGGCTGGACTTAGTTGAGAACCCTCACATGGGCGTGACTTTGAATCTGTACGATAATCAGATTTAATTGACTACTTTATTGATTATTTTAAGTCTTAGATAAGGGAACCCTGTTTTGGTGATCTTGTGAATTCATAATATATGACATACATGTACAAAAGATAACATAATATAATATTTTAATATTATAAGTAATAATATAATATTACAAGTGAGAATGCATTTTCTTCTTTATCTTCAATTTCCAATAAATTTTACGATTGTTTGTTGTCAATAATACAATTCATATCATTTATCGTCATCACCGTATTTACATAGGTCTTGGAGTTATCTTCATATAACCTACATATACAATGTTTTTATTTTAGACTAAAATTTTTAGTGTCCCATTTCTACGTGTTGTATCTGCGTTATTTGAAAAGTAGTGTGTTAATTGTTTTAAAAATGCCAAAAGTAAAACAAAATCTATCGAGTCGGCAACAAACTTATATTAATGAATTTGGTTATAATATATTTTCAATCGATGTAAGTGTATTGTTTTGTAAAATTTGTGAAATTAAAGTTAATTCCAAAAAAAATTTCAATGTATTACAACATTTAAAAAGTGTCAAACATATAAAAGGCTTTGTCCGATATGAAATTAAATAAATTGAATATAGCCTAAGTTATTGACAAAATAAAGTAATAGAAAATCATTTTTCAACAAAGATTTGTGCGAGGGTCTTATTTCTGCTAACATACCTTTAAATAGAATTGAAAATCGAAAATTAAAAACATATTTGGAAATTTATACAAAAAATGAAATCTGAGCGAATCTACGTTATGAACAGGATACGTAGATGAAATTTATAATGATACTATTAATGATATAAAGAAAACTATTTCAGACAATAAAATCTTGGTCAGTATCGACCATTATATTGCGAATGTAATAGTTGGTATTCTTGATGAAAGTTGCACAGGCAAATTTTTTTTACTAAATTCGTTTATACTAAAAAAACTAACCACTGTGGAGTGGTTAGCTTTTTTTATTATGGCCAGCTGGTATCAAACATGAAAATATATTTTTATTTTTATCTTATGCTTTATCTATAATTTAACCCTACACGGTTAAATTATAAGAAGTACTAAAAAGTCTTTATTCGAAAATGATTCACCTAACATGTGTTATACACGGGCTTCATAGAATCGCAGAAGAAGTAAGAATTCAATTTCATGCCGTGGATAAAATTATTTCTAGTATAAAAAAAATATTCAGAAAAGCACCAATTTTTATTTAAAGTGGAAGCGCCAAATCTACCTTACCACCAGAGCCAATTATAACTCGTTGGAGAAGTTGGATTAACGGGCAATTTATTATTGCGAGAATTACTAGATAATACACCGTATTGTTTTCATGTTGGAAAAAAATACGAATGCTATTAAAGACGCCCAAGATTTCATCATAAAACCGGGATTAGACAATAACTTGACGTATATTAAGTCAAACTTTGCTACCTTAACTTTAGCTATTGAAAAATCACAACAGCAACATGTACTATTATCGAATTCAATAAAAATTGTTAAGAATATCCAAATATCGTTGGAAAATCTAAGTGATCCAAAAGGAAACGTTATTCAAAATAATTTCAATAAGGTATTGGAAAAAAATTTTGGTTTCGCGGCATTAATAAAAATATCAAAAGTTCTAACTGGTGAAGAAACATCAGGAAATTTATCTGGATTTTAGTTGTAACGACTTAGCATTTTTTAAATGCGCATCCGTGACGTCTGTCGATGTTAAACGGTTTTTCTCAACATATAAAACTGTATTGTCAAATAATCGTATAACATTTAAATATGAAAAAATAAGAAAACATAATATTATTCAGGGTAATTCTTTAGTTAAATAATCAAGTTTCACAGATCCAAAATGTATTGCACCTCACAGGATATCTCCTCAACAAAGACAAGAATTAAAAAATCAGTTAGATAAGTTTTTAGAAGCTAATATAATAAAACTAATTACATCAAACTTTGGAGTACCTGCATTTTTAGTAAGAAAAAAATTCTCATCGACTAGTGGTATCATACAAAGAATTAAATGATAGGGTACAAACCGATTTATATCCTATTCCAAGAACTTCAGACCTATTGAGAGCATTAGAAAACTCACAATATTTCAATTTACTCGATTTTATTTCAGCCTTTTTTCAAATACCTATTAAAATTTCTGATTAATATAAATTAGCATTTACATCAGCACTTAGGCTTTTCACTTTTACAAGATTATCTCAAGGTTTTAAAAACAGCAGTGTCATCTTTCAAAGAAAAGTCAATGAAATTTTTTCACCTATATTATACAAATTTTTAATCAAATATATAGATGATTTAACTTCATATGGAAAAAACTTTAGTGACACTCTAAAAAACCTCGAAAAGGTTTTCGAAATAATGAATATATACAACTTCTCACTCAAAACAAGTAAATGCAAATTATTTTATACGGAAATAGAATTATTTGGTCATAAAATCAACAAAGAAGGCATACAACCACTAGATAAAAACATTAAAGCTATTACAGAATTCAAAACTCCTATTACACAATAAAACGTCAGATCTTTCATTGGCATGTGTTCTTATTATACAAAGCATGTTAAAAACTTTTCAAAAATAGCAAATCCACTTACAGACTTAATAAAAGGAGACCACAAAAAAATTACTTGGACTTCTGAACATGAAAAATCTTTTAATCTTCTAAAAAAAATTTTAACGACTCAACCATTACTTCGACATTTTGATGATTACAGAAATACCTTCCTAACCACCGATGCATTAATAAATGGTCTCGGAGCATGTCTAGAACAAGACTACAACGGAACATTATTTCCAGTTGGTTCTGCCAGTAGAAAACTACTAAAAAACGAAGTAACTTATTCATCAACAACACTAGAACTATTGAGTCTTTGTTTCAGTGTACAATATTTTAGGAAATTCTTGTGGGGGAGACACTTCATAGTTTTTTGAGACAACGTCAGTATGTAATACTATAATAATCTCAAAATACTTTCCACCAGAATTGCCAGACTCACATTAAAACTGTTAGACTTCTCCTTCGAAATACATTATAAGAAAGGTAAAGAAAATAAAGCAGCCAACGCTCTATCAAGAAATCCAATCAACAACATAAATATTATTACTGTTCAAGAACCAAAAAATTTTAATTTACCGAATTTACAACTTTCTCAAAAGGAAGACGAATTTTGTAAGAATTTAATTGATGCCCTCAATGGTAAAGATGTCCCTACAAATTCTAAGAGAAAATCAAGACAATTCACAATAATGGATAATTTACTTTATTACAAAAAGTATTTGCCAAATAAAACAACTGAAACAAATATAGTAATTCCACAAAACCTTATCCAGCATATTTTTAAATCATATCATGAATCGGCATTAGGAAGAGGTCATACAGGAATTTCTAGAAAAATACACAAAATTCAAAAGAAATATTACTGGAAAAATCTCGTGAAAAATGTTACTCAATTTATAAAATCATGTCCAAATTGTCAACAAAACAAAATACTAAATTGAAAACTCATAGGTAAATTGAATCCAATACCAATAACAAGCAAAATTTCAAATCGACTTATTTTTTACTATTTAGGTCCATTAAGCGCTAGTAATAAAAAAAAATATATTATAGTAGCTGTTTGTAATAAAACAAAATTTATGTTCACAAAAGCTGTAACAGCCACCACAGCGGAATCAACGGTTAAATTTATTATTCAGATAATCACACAAGTAGGTTGCTTTCAATATTTTTCGATCAATAGAGAAATTCATTTTAAAAATGAGTTAGTCAAAAAAACATGTAAAAATTTAGGCATAAAACAAGAATGTTCAACAGCATATTATCCGCACTCAAGGTATTGTTGAAAAAATCAATGGAGTAATTTGTGCGTCCCTTCGAAATTGTATTGAAAATAATGATCAATCTAAATGGTCATATTATCTGCCTTACATAACACTAGCATACAACGCAACACCACAATCTAATACACACTACAGCCCCTTCTATTTATTACATGGATTTGAACTATATTTCCCAATTGACAACAAAATATTACCTGACGACATACCTTATGACATAAAGCAATCATTAAAAATTCTACATGAAATACGAAGCACAATTCCGTTAAAAATTCGAAATATTCAGCAAACTCAAAAAAACAGTTATGATAAAAGACACGTTATCCTAACTTTCGATCCTGGTGCTTTAGTGTTAGTTAAATTTCCATTTAATGAACATGGAAAATCACCGAAATTAGCACCTAAATATAGAGGGCCTTTCAAAATTATAAAAAAAATGAATGATTTAAATTACAAAATTCAACTAACTCTAAATAACAAATTTACCGAAGATATTATTCATGTAAGAAGACTAAAACCATATTACCAAAGACTCACCTAACAACGTAATCTTTTCTCCAACATAATGTTAATACATTTATTCCTATCATAGTTATTATTTATTTATTTACTTTTTTTTTTTACTATTCACAAAAACAGAACCAATATATCAGAATGAACTCATCATTTAACAACATACACCCACACATTATGTGTCCCATAGGACAATTATGTGTCAATTGCAATCATAAAAAATGGCTTCTTCAAACAGATATAATATAACAGGGTATAAATTGGTCAAAACGTTTTATAGAGTATTTTACAAACAAAAATATCATATGGCTAATCGACGAATTAATATATTATTCAATGATAGATGCGGAAAGGCATTTAAGGTATGATTACATAATTCATTATTTCAAAATTCAACAATTGTCAAAACACAATTACGATAGGTTCCAACAAATAGAACGAATTAAAGCATTATACAACAGAAGTTAAACTGCAGATAATAATAAATAACATACCAATTATTGGAACAATCTAATTTATTATATATTAGTAAAAGATCACAATAAAACAGACACTAATTTAGAACCTTTAAACAAATAAAACTTAGAATCAAAAATCATTGAAAATTCTAACAGAAACAATAAGATTAAACATTTTTTAGACAGTTCAGATGAATTTTACGATGATTATATACAATACCAAAATGTAATTCACAAATTCGACCTCATCACAAGCAACAATGCAACTTCAAGCCATTCTTTTTTCTTCGACAAATTATGACACTATAAAAGATAAAATAAACTATATCAAAGAAGAATTTCAAATAAGAAATGTAATATACGAATCTGGGCCAGATTGGTAAACTTCAACACACTCAAATACTGCTACAACATTTTAAACAAATTTTACACCTAGTAAATAACTAAAAAAATAGATTAATTATTTAACTACCTTTTTATATATATTACATTTACATATACTATACACTTCCTTATATAACTCCATAAATAATTATAAAAAAAAAATCAGTTTTTTTTGTGATTCTCATTGTCATTATATCATTGTTAAAAAAAAAAATCTACTTTAAACACACAATTACAAAAATATTGATATATATTCATATCAAATATATTTATTAAAAATATATAGATAATAAATTCATGCGACTATTTATATCTTACATACTAACTTAATGACTATTTTATATGTTATACCTTTTTATAGAAAATACAATTATTATTATTACAATAACTATATACTTTTATTCATTTTTTTTTCTTTCTCTTTATTCACCTTCCTTTTTTCTGCTGTTTAAAATATGATAATTTTTTAATTTACGCACGAACAGTGTGGCTATCTATAATAAAAAATATTATTTATTACACAAAAACAAACAAAAAAAAACTAACATAACTTACAAGACCTAATCACAATCTATACTATAGAGGTACAACTGCGTTTCTCCAAAAAAAGAACTCCTTCCGTACTCATCTATAGCTCTTAGTGCAAAATATTACATGCCACTCGTTGCGCACAATATCCCATCACAAGCTAGTGGCAGGTTTAACGGCAAAATATTACTTACCTTTCGCAATGAGGTAACATTAGCCATTTCCCCTGTCTCTTTACAACAATAAAGCTCGTAATGATCTATTCTTGCGTGCTGCACTGTCAACTTAAGTTTCTTTATCAGGATAAACATCCTACCAGAATTGTTCAATTTCAAAATCGGCCTACCTGGTATTTTTCTCCATCTCGATCCTTCACTAACATTCCAATGGTTAGGTACCCCAGGTGGATAGCTAAGCCTAATCCGCCTTTCACTGTTCACCAATTTATAGGACGACATAATTATCAATTACACCACACGTTTAATTTAACTCGAAACTATGTAACGATGCTTACGAATGTAAACTCAAGACTGGCCTAATAATTTGAATGTCAGAATCCATCCTATATAAAATACTAATAACAAATCAAATAATCCTATCAAAAAAAATATATTTAACAAAAAATCTTTCTTCTACATATCTATAAAAATAATACCCTTTTCTATAAAAACCCAACCCAACTCAAACACATAAAAAAGGGATCTCAGTATAGTATAACGAGAAGATTATTAGGAGCAACGATAAATACTTATTTTTTACTTTTCTCACGTTCTTCTTTTTTCATTGTTTTCTTAGACAATATCTCACAATACTAATAAATAGCTATCTAACAACTGTGCATCATTATACAAAACAACACGAACATTTTCTTGTATAATCTATTAAATATTTACAAATTTCGTAGATAATAGGAATAATTGATAATGTATTATATTTTGTGTGTAAAATCGCCATACTTTGAGATTATTACAATTACTCTTATTATATATTAAAACTATATATCCAAAATGACATACTAACCTCTTAAAAAAAATTTAATAATTATTTCACTATCTTTAATTCATACTAAAAAAAAATTAATTAACAAATGAATTAAACAATTATATATTTAACAACCACTCAATACACTTAAAACTATCATTGCAACACATTGAATAAATTAGAATTATTTAATTTATAGTATATTCCAATTTTTTTTTTTATAATTAAACAAACATCACATTATCTATAACACAATAACACACATTTAAATAAATATTATATATACTATAGTATTAATTATCACGTTTAAATTTACTTTTAATATACTAAACAAAAATTACATACAGATTTAAAAAAAAAAATACAGTCTTTAATAGGCTAATAAATAACTACATAGTAATTAAATTCATATTTTTACTTTTTAATTTGTATAAAAAAACAGGGTAATCATGATCACATGCTACTATCAATTATTTTCAACACACTATTCACTTCATCAATGCAATCATTGCATACGATTGCTCTGCAAACAACCTCAATATAACGTCTTTTAGTAGTCTCTCTGTGGATCAATGCGAGAAACCAATCATCATAACAAATCAAACAATTCACAGACTTTTTCACAACTTCTTCAAAAATGTGAAATGCGTAACTCACATTATAAAGCTTGTCTAATATCGACAAACTATTTTATTTTAAAATGTGCAACATTTGGGGATTTACAAGCTCCCCAAATGGATATTATTCAGAAATAATAGAAGTTGGTAGTGCCAGATGTCAAGAAATTCATAAAAAAATAATTTTTGAACTACCCATGTGGTCAATAATACAAGGATTAAAAATCAACCATACTACAAGGGCATCTCACACAATAGCTGGTTCATTGGACAGCAAAGGAAATTGTGATGGAATAACATATATCACTTCTAAAGGTACATGGCATAAAGCTTTAGTTCAAGCAAAATATGAAATAACACTAACAGATGGTGATACAATTGCCAATTACCACGACAACTACATTACCTTATCTAGTGGTACAAAATTCAAATTATCAGACTTATATGGATTTGATTCATTTAAAGGAGAAGTAATATGGAGTACAACCGATTATACCTGTGACGATGAATATGCCACTCTTTATGATGGCCCTGCTTCTTTATTCATTTCAAAATCTTTTTTAGGTAATACAGAAAACATCAAAACATTCGTAGCCCAAACCGAAGGTATAGCTTTTGCCCTAAAATACATTAAAGACACTCTTATTTGTAATGCACCTATGATCCAAATAGAACATCCAATGCTCTTTATCCTCATGAATGAAAATCATATAAACAGCATAAAATTAAGAGCTCCTTCACCACACAATACCGACTTAATAGCATACGTAAACACAAAATTTGTCTGGCTAGCTCATCATATGGCCACAACACTATCAGAATTATATACTGACATTACTTTAAAAAAATGTTTACAAGAACGAAATTTACTACTTTATAAATTGTCATTAGCTTCATATAGCCTAACAGAATTTTCATATTCAATATGTAACAACCCAGGATGTATGGAAATCATAAGCGGTGAAATCATTTATCTTATTAAATGCAAACCAGTACAAGTTCAAATAGCTAAAAAGGAATCATGTTATCATGAACTACCTGTCATCTATCAAAATAATACATATTTTATGCTACCAAAAACTAAAATAAAGATTTGGTACTCAAATAACATGTAACACATTATTGCTTTCAGCATATCTTCTCGATGAAAACTGGTTTGGTCTAACTTCACAATTAATTGATGTAAAAACACTACAAATTTTAAAACCTAACACTAAGTTCACTTGTAGTTATAAATCTCCTGATCATCTTATATCAGTAGGAATATATAATAAAGAAACAATGATTGCCTTTCAAAAACACTTGATGTTTCCACACGAAGCGACAGCAATTCAAAACAACATAGTACGACAAACATTAGGTTATGATATGTCTGACCAAAAATTAAATCTTTACAGACTTATCGACCCGGACACAATTAGTAATTTAGTAGAAAATAAACTATATCAAATGTGGGGTTGGTTTACCTACTTCGGCTCACTAATGTCGGGTATACTAGGAATATTTTTCATTTTCAAAATCATCTCCATAACTACAAATGCATTCATGAATATAACCTTACTTTACAATACGTTCGGATGGAGTGTAAGAATCTTGGGAGGATTATTCAATAATATCACCCACCATTTAATGCATAAACATCATCAATAAAATAATAACACGAATAATGTTTAATTGGTAAACATTAAAAATACAACAAAAAATGATACGCCAACAAGAATTTCCATTCTATCTGCCTTTTATCCTACATTACAAACTCAATAAATTCAGAAATTCAACATAATCAAGCATACTATCCTACGGGACACTACTAATAACGTTATAAACTACTATCAAATTATACAACTCAGAACACTACAATAATTTTTTTACTTATACACATACTTTATGATAATAATCACTGAACTAATAAATATCATATTGAATATTAGATTACATCACTATTTATTATATTTATTCTGTATCATTTATTAATATACTATGCATTATTATTCAATGATATAAAATATTTACTCATATATGTCATTCTTATAACAATAATTAGAAATGGATATTTATCCAAATTACTTATTATTAATTAATTATTAACTATATTTATAATATATTCATTATAACTATTGTTATTATTATCATCATTATTATTAAACTTACTATTATATAATAATATACTCATATTATTATTATCAAAGAATCACTATTATGTAATACTATATTCACAAATTATTATTATCATTTTATTCATGAATTAAATTTTTACTTTTTCAATATTTACTATTTTTTATATTTAAGCATAATATACATCATTTTTTTTTTTTTGCTTTCGATCATAACGAGTACAATGTACTCAGTACATACTATGCGCTCTCACATATCATTTCAAATAGAAACACATTTATAATTTTCACATATGTTCTTTATATCAATTTTTACCATTTAACATTAACTTTCATTTCACCCTTCTAATCCACTCTTGTACTTCAGTTGTGAGGATACAACATTTAAAAAAAATCAGAGTGGATGTCGTAACATAATCATCACTATTATTTATATGGGATAACACTAAAATACCCTGTTTATGTACTCAACAATGCTATATTCTTAGTATTTTTTTTTCATTTCAAATAGACACCACTTCTATCTATAGAAATGGTTCATTTTAACTTGTTTCATTATACATTATATTTTTACAAGGACATGATCCTTTTCGAACAAAAATTTAGATAAACATTTAAGAGAAATAGTCAACAAACTCACACTGTTTGGCTACATTGTAGTGTAGGCGGTTCGGTCATAAATCAATTAATAGTTACTTTTAAAATACTTCCTTACCAAAAGGAAATCTATGTATTATTTTTGTCATCTTTGTTATTCTACTTTAATTAATTAAATGCATTGTATTAATCTTGGTCTTACTTGTAAAAAAACTATATTAATGTTATATATGTAAATGTCAAAATAATTTATATTCTATTCATCTGTAATAATCTGTAATAATCAATAAACAATTATACTAAAAATTCGACAGTGACGATTTTTGGGGGTAAAAAAATATTATAAAAAGCCAGAGCAAACCCTTGTTATTGTGCACCGTATTAAGCTATGCGAACGTCGTGATCGTCTTTGTCGAAGTTTTTATGTGTTAATTCGTGAACTAAAATTTGAACTTGTGTTACTTTATTTATCATTTTACCAATATTATCACTGAGGATATTATAAGAAACAGAGAATTTAACAGGTAAGATTTTTTTAAATCCATAAGAAAATTTACATTGTTATTTTATGACCCTCGAATTACACCCCGAATCAAAAGTAACTCTCACTCTCATTTTTTTTAAATTCCATCAATATTAATACTCTGATTTTTAGCTTCGATGCGAAGCTGAGAAGGTATTGGTTTTACTATGATGAGTTTTTTTTTTGTGTCTGTTATCACTTTTTCTCAGCTCTCACCGAACGAATTTCTTTCAACGATACGCCAAAAGATCACAAATTGTATCTAGTTGAAGACATTACCCTCAAAAATTGAAAAAATTTCCCTCGTTCCCCGTAAATGGGGGAAACCTCCAAAAAAATTACAAATTTAAAAATCGCTTATTTTCGAAATTTTTTCAATTTTTTTATATAGATGCATGATATCATTACCTTTCATTTGGTATATTTTTTTTTATATGTGATCCTTTACTTGCCCACAGAACGGATTTAAAATGACAACTTTTTCACAAAAAATTAATTTTTTCAACTTGATTTTTGAAAGTGTTCCGGAAGGTCTGACACTTTTATATATATCTTAAATTAAAGCTAATGTAATATAATTTATCATGAAAAAAAATAATTTCGGGCTTTATTTTATCTTCATGGTGAAAATGGCTACCGAATGCTATTTTTGTATGAAAATTTTCAATTTTGTATTTTACATTTTTAACTTTATTATGATATAACTATATGAAAAATGTATGGATCAATACAATTTTTTCTTGAGAAGTAGTATTTTTATACATCTTTCATTCGACATACTTTTTTTTTAAATCAGACAATTTGCTTATATACGGGGAGTGTTCAAATCTGAAAAATGCATATAGAAAGTAGAACTTTTTCACAAAAAATTAATTTTTTCAACTTGATTTTTGAAAATGTTTCGGAAAGTCTGACACTTTTATATATATCATAAATTAAAACTAATGTAAATTTAATATAAACGATTTAGTCACTAGCGGCCGCAAATAAAAAATTACGTATGTGTATGATATTCACACGCTAACGGTTTTATGAGCAGATTTAAGCGCGTATTTATTTTTGACGCTAAATTAAAAATTCCTTGAGAGTATTGTAAAGAATAATTTTTAACTCAAGTTTCAACAGTAAAAATAGAATATTTGTTACAAATGATGCATCAAGTGTCCTACTATTATTCCCATTATTTCAATAATTATAAACTTCAATATAGTTCAACTCTTTTCGATAAAAACATCCTAAAAATTTTAAGCCAAATGTAAAGGTTAATAAATGTAAAAAACATTGCAGCAATTTCTTAGTAGGTCAGTAGTATTGTAACTACCCGCACATCAGCTTGTAAGGCAATAATTCAACATACAAGAAAAATCTGAACAGTAAATAAAATTTTCTTTTATCTACTTTAAAGTAAAATTTACTATATTTCCAACAATTTTTTTCTCTGATCTCTTTCTTGTATCTTATATAAGTGTTCTCAAATTTACAAAAATAATAATTCTATTTTAAACAATTAATTTATATCAAAATTTTACATATACACTAAACCTAAATGGACTCGATTTTTTTCATGATTGACTTCAACTTTATTTTGTGTAATAAAAAATGTCTTTAATGAGAGTTAGTTTAAACTATTAGATAAACTTAATATACATAGTATTAGAAATTGGTGTTAATGCAGACCATTTGAAGACAAAAATTTATAAAATTAATTAACCATCTGGTTGATGGAGATAACATATGGTATTTAGATTTATGACGTGATTTTAGAAATATCATCCTTAAACAGCATCTTATAATAGATCACACATTCATAAATTACTACCCTTATAAATTTACGAAAAATGATAAATTTAGTGACAATAAAAATTATAAATAATATCTCCAAAGAGAGTTATTACAAATTATTGGATTAATCTAATCTATTGTCGTAATATGTTTAATGTTTTGCATTGCGCATCTTACATTTATTAATGAAAAATGTATAATCTGTATTTTATATTATAGACGTCTGGCCTATAATATAAAATAGACGAAGACCAAAAAAGAGATTGAGGGATGTTATTGAATGCGATATGAGGACAGCTGATGTGAGCATAGATGATATTTTTAGATTTTAGATCGTGACAAGTGAAAGTTTGTCGCGGTCGCATCCCATTTCCGGTGTTACCGCCGGATAGCGATCGCGGCGCTTCCTCTTCACGTCCGACAGGTCGCGCTATTCGTGGTGGCCGACGGGTGGTAAGAACCGGTCGCTCGGGGCTGGACAATCGAGACTGAAAAAAATAAATATTCGTTTTCCAACTGTCACGTTGACCTTTTATGAGGAACAAAAGATAACTTTATTTTATTTACTTATTGTGTAATTAAGATTATTGTTGTAGTTGTCTAATAAAAACGCTATTGGTTTACTACTTATTATTATTATATTTACTACCTTGAACACATTAAGTTTAGTATAAGAATGGCTGAAAATTTTGAAAATTGGAGAATGAACTACTCCAAGTAGTTAGGATTAAGGCAAACAAAAAAAAGAAGATTACCAGAAATTCCGGTTGCAATTGATATACTATAATTGTTGTTTGGAAATGTACGATTTAGCGTTTGGTTGGGTTTAAACCATATATCGTCAAATCAATTACGTTTTCTATCGGTTGTATATTAATATACACTACACTTTAATGATACTATAAATAAATAAACTCATACATACACAAATATGCATTTATAACAATGTGTTTAATGTGTCTAACAACATGATAAAAAGTAACCCTAAAATGGAAAAAATGGAAAATAAATTTTAGTACTCTTATTAAATGTAATATTACTCGAAAAATATTTGTTTAAATAAAAAAATAAAGATGCCTCTTTTTTACAAGTAAAATATTTTTTGAAAAAAAATATTCCCTCCCTCTCCACTATGGTGGTCTACCACCTGTACTAATGCCATTAAAGAACGCTCTCAGGCTTTTCGCTTATACAGAGCTACAGGTGCAGTCTCTGATTTTATTTCCTATCGACGTATCTGTTCTACCACCACTCGTACGCTGAAAAAAGCAAAAAAGGATGCTTGGCACTCCTTTTGCTCGTCCCTCAACCCATCTTCTTCCCTTCATCACTTATAGTCCACCGCCAAAAAGTTTAAAAACTGTGGAAGTCACTTAACGAAGCATGGTTTCCCTCATTCTGTGATAAAATTACTCCTCCTTATCTTCCGTCTTTCAAGGAATCTACTCCCTCCTCCATCCCTATTCCTTCAACTAACAACTCTGACTCTCACCCCTTAACTATGCCGTTTACTTCTAAAGAGCTCATTTTAGCAATCTTCTCACGCACTTCTTCTGCTTCTAGTCTTGATAACATTTCCCCTTTAATGCTGAAACATCTTCCCCAATTTGGTCTCGATATTTTCGTCACCATAATTAACTCCCTGTGGTCCAATTGCTTAATTCCCCCTTCCTGGAAATGTTTTCATGTTATTCCTATACCTAAACCTCACTCTACCCCCGCTTCTTTCCGACCTATTGCTCTCTCCTCATCACTTTGTAAAACTGTTGAATTTATGATTAAGTCCCGACTAGACTGGTTTTTAGAAAAGAACAACCTCCTCCCAAGTAACCTTTTTGGTTTTAGGAGAGGCATAAGTACAATGGATTGCCTTTCTTCTTTTATTGGTACCATTTATGAGTCATTTTGTAAAAAGAAATTTTTTCCAGTTGTTTTTATTGATATTAAAGGAGCTTTTGACTCCGTGTATATACCTACCCTTACCGAGCGGTTATATTCAATCA